GCGGGAAATTTGAATTTCTTTAATTAGCTGTAACTTGGCGCCTATTTGTCCGATTGAGATGAAATTTTCATCAAAAATGATCGAATTCTATAGGCAAAATTATGAGTATCTTTGTACTCCTTTTGGCTTGAATTATAATTCTGAGGCCATATTTGGACTTACTTTATGACGTCACAATTGCATTCCCATATACCAAATTTTATACCCTTGAATAGGTAATTCCTCAATACACCTCACCTGCGCGTTATTCCTCTATTTTATAATTGCCTAAAACTCCTACTATTGAGGGGTCCGGGAGGAAACTCCATAGCAACCAACCAGTCGTGCTTTCAATAACTAATTGTCAGTTAAAGTTGTTTTTGACATTTGCTACACAAGAAACTAATGAAAATTTTGAAAAAAAAACTAATTCCCTCAACCCTCTGTTAACTAGGTAATCTTGGCATCAATTTTATGTAAAGCCTCTCTCTTGTTTTACAGATCCCCCCTCCCCCTCCCCCTCCTGGTAATTATTACACGTGAGTCCTTATATTCAGAAACGTTTGAGGAGGTACTTGCATCTGTCAAGGAAGACTTGAAATGTGTGGATTATTCGGCATCTGCTGTTCGACATGACTGGTATTAACGTAGTTTCTCCCGGTCTGCAAAACAGCCCCTTCCCATCCCATCGTCCTTAGCGTTCCAACGTCATCATTCCTTATTTGAAAAAGGCCGGCCATTCACGACAAGATTCAACTATTTGCAGTAAATACATATTTATGAGCTCAAAATATAAGAAGCTCTTTTTATTAGACATCTTTTTTTTTTCTTTTTTAAAAAAAAAAAACCTGAGCTCATTTCTCAGGTCAAACACTACAATACCAGTATCCACATGTAATCTTATCTCTTGTCTTTACTTTTGATCATTGTATTTTTTGCTATTTAATAGTATTATCTACAACTACTATATAACTGATCGAAAATTATAATCAAATTCAAACTGAAAATGGCTTTATGAAAGTCGAAACATGTCTTTTAAACTTAAAAATGTTGTGTTATTCTAAAAAAAATGTTGCATATTACTTGTGCATCACAATGGTGCTGTAACTTGAGATTTGTGGTCTTCGATCCACAGGAATTAAATTTCATTGTCACAGTTAATACGGTTTTAAACGACATTTGCAGAAACTAAGCCACCCTGCTGTTGCGTTTTCGAGGAAAGGTAATCAGCTCGCTGAAGCTTGTACTGATTAACTTTACTTTGGCATATATATAACTTTTCCCTCGTGTTTCCCCGATTCTTGTCAAATGTCAGAGAAAGTGCATGCCATTTCTTGTCTTCTTACAAGTTTGTGTTTCTTTGGGGTCCTAAACTGGGTCAAACCGCAGCACTATTTGTGTGATTCTACTTCATCGCAATATAGGAGACTTAACAAGTAAGTGAAAAATATTACTTATCGCCAAATTTGATTCGTTTTTACTCTAGGCATCTACGGATGAATTTATTTCATTTTCAGCTTATAAATGAAGGAAGTAGTGGTAGAGATTAGTTTCAATTGAAAATTACAAGAAATAACAGAATCCTTGTTGATATCATACTTCAATATTATAAAGGTGACAATAATTGCATTTTGAATCCATATTTATCAGGAAGTGTTTTCCGTTGGCCTTCGGAACGATTAAATTTCGACAGCCTTTTATCAATCGACTAAATGCGACTTCCTATGTACACAAAGCATATTATGAATTGATAAGGATTGTGTAAATTACAGTTTTAATATCGATAATTGGAGGAATCAATCTATCAATTAAAATAACTGTCGGAATGGTTGTCGCATGTGACTGTTGGCCTCGAAACGCGAAAGAATGTAGCGCTTGTATGAAATCACTGGAGATATTAGTAAAGGTGGGTGCCCTGGTTATGCCATAAATACGTATTGTAACTCTTACATTTTTTGATCACTGAAAGGCTCAACGTTTGCTGGTACAAGGCATATTTTATTGGAATTGCACTCGACGTTAAATGTAGAAAGAGGTAATCTCCATTTAAGCAGCAGTCTTGATTTTTTTTATTATTTGTTTGTTTTTTTTTTTTTTTTTGCGCATGCTCATTTATGTACCAATCAATTTCGTATGTCAAAGGGAGTGGCGAACAATTTAAAAGAAGCTGTTTGCAATGCCGCTTATCCACTTTGCAGCAAACACAATCCTGCCATGTATAAGTTGATTTTTGTCTTTTTGTTCCTCTTGGGGCCACTAATTTTCAGTTTCCCTGCTGACGCCAAACAGCCACACAGAAAAGTTCTGATACTCGGTGCTGGTTTGTCTGGAATTGTCGCTGGAAAAACTTTAAAAGACAAAGGCATTGATGATTTCTTGCTTCTTGAGGGACAGAATTATATTGGAGGCAGGATAAAGCAGGTATCTGACGACTTTCATATACATATCGAACTTTTAAAGTCCGTGATCACTCAAGCGTACCCCCATAGTCTGTATGAACTGGGTGATTGATTTGCGACCAGGCCTTCATATGAATTCGCCAAGGTTGTAAGCCAGTGAGCCCGTGCATTTTTGTTAAGCGGTCATATTTGAAAGTGTAAATAAAGAAAAGGGAAAACCCACAGCTCGCCTTTCACTCAAACAAACAGTACAAGTCGACGTGTTAAACTTATTTACATAACTAAATAAAATGATTATAGAATTAAACCTTTAAGAATTGAATGCTCATATGAAAYATTTTCCACCTTAAATACACACGTGTTTTTCAGAAGGGAATTTAGTCGACCTTTCTTCACGATGGAATTTTGTTTTGAGTCGTTTCGACATAAACAGTCGCTATCAAGGCATTACGCGAAAAACCTCAGYCACCGTTCTAKCTCTCGTTGTAAGGTCARARCTAGTAAATGTGTAACCGACCTGTTACATAACGTCAACSTGTTGTATCGGCGTCGAGCATGCTTGCGGCTTATTGYCGAAAATGCGACAAAGGATGAACTACAACAGTTGTTTGTACCAAAAATCACAAACGCTTTAACTCTATTGGAATACGTGGAGCTAAGCTGCTCTAGCTCTTCCAGTGATATTGTAGATACCTCTGAAAGCTTAGAGGAAACAAGAGCTAAGAAAAAGGATTTGCAATGGCTCCTCCCAAGATACTCTGGACTTGAACGTCGCTTCAACGACCTTCTGAATTCTTCGTGAAGTCGGCCACTGCATCGCATGCAATGGAGAACCCGCGTAGAACACAGACCAATTATTTTTAGCAGAGAGGGGAGTCTCGTGGTATTAAAGAAAAAAATTATTTGTTATTTCATTTTTAAGATAAGATTCTATTTCTATAACGATATATATTTGATTGACATTTAAAAGCTATTTTATAAAGATTTTGAGTTTCTCTTTGCGTTTTAGCTTCGATTTTTCGGATAGAATAAAATGACAGGCAGCCTACTCCACTGGGTCGAGTTTTGCTGTGCAAATTCCTCCCGTCGTGGGGTTATGTTTACAACATAAGCTTGTCAGCTTTGCGCTGATTGGCTAGTCGCATTTTCTCAAATCACCCAGAAGTGTCAAATTCGACGAAAAGAGACCAGATTTCAAGACTTTTTGAAGAAATGCAATGATATTCAAGACAAACCTAAAATCTAACATCGAATTTAAGAAATAAAATATATATGTGACCTTTCTGTGTATTCTTCGTGAGAAAATATGAAAATCCAAGTATGTATTTTCGCCTTTGAAGAGTTGGAGTTGAGCATCAAAATAGACTGGGCCTCGTGCCGGCATAAATAAAGAACTAGCGAAGAGCCTCATTATGAAATTTCACTTTTCATTCTATTCAAGATTGYGTAGAAAYTAACCGTGAATAATTAAAATTGAAGCTTTTTTGCGAAGTCTTTGAGATTTTATTGATGATCGTGTGACCGTGAGTGCGGTTTTAGCGTTCAGAAATAACGCCTGAAGAAACGCTGGAAATATATGACATATCTGAGAGTTAAGATTTGGAATTTTTCCCCTAGTACCTCCTGCCTTCGGCATCCGTTAGCCCCCCCCAAGCAAATTTCCGCTGCGCGGTCCTTGCATAACTCATTTAGTTAATGAAAACCTACCGCCAAATTCAAATAGCTTATGAAATTTGTCGCATTTTGATATGTGATACATCTATCGTTCTGAAAAAATACTTGTGTAAAAATGGCTTTAAGAGTATTGTAAGTGTTGTGGTGTTTTGATTATTCTTATCAAGGCTATTGAAGTAAAAGCTATTATTGAAGAGTCCAGGGTTTCGGAGAGCAAAATCCGAGATATTTTGTTAAAGCTTTTTGCTTTTTGACCGATAAACCTATAAATTATATAAAAAAATGCCGTATTTGTGCTCTTTTTCGGCCTCTTCATTTATCTCATGAAATCTAAGCAAATGTCACCCCATGTATTGCAATAAGTTTGATATGAGCGTCGTTAAATTCATAATGTCGACAAAAGAAAACATTTCGATGATAGATATCAAAGATAAAGATATTAAGCTCTGAACGTTTTACAGAATGGATTAAATCCTGTTCAAGTTAGTAAGGGTTAGAAGGGGCACGAAAAACCCAAATGAGGCTACCAAGGCCTAAGCAAATCACTCATATAAAAATCCTTGACTTGGAAGTCCTCCATAACTATTAGTTTAGTAGTACTTACTCCATAGCTTCGTATCGCACAATCTCAGTGGTAGAAACTTTGATTTCTATATGGTCTTCCATTTATGGTCACGATCGATTAACTAAAACGATCAGGGTCGTACCCAGTGATATGACGTCAATATGATGTCATATCAATCTATGGTCTTCGCGTTTTTTTTGGTTTTGGGCACCCTGTGACCCCCCCTGGATACGCCCCTGAAAAATAGACTGGTATGAATATCACAGCGAAACAAAAGAGATTCATTAATATGCGGATTTGAGCTGGATCTCGAGAACTAGACTCATTTAATTGACCATGAAATGCTCGGGAATACTTCGTAAGAGGGTCTCAATGGAGTCAACCGTGAGCCGTGAAACACGTGTCAGATTAAAATCAAACTTTATCAATACAGTGTACTACAATGCAGAGGATTGCGCGGTTCCTCGAGTAGCCATGGCCTTGCATGAATTATATAGTATCCACCAAACTATACAGGACTACTACGAATCCAGCAAAACTAGTCGCGTGAAAAATAGTGACATAATGATAATAAACTATAACACACTAGTCAATAAGAACGCTGGAAAATCCAGGCACAAATCTGGTTGATATCTATAGTGTAATCTCTTTGTTTAGGGAGAAATTGCTGGCTTCAAGGTCGAGAAAGGGGCAAATTGGTATCACTATGCGAAGAAGGAAAACGACACAATACCTATTTGGAAGCTAAAACTAAAACACAACTTGAAGGGTATTTGGAGCAACTACTCCGACTTTATCATCAGGTGTAAAAACTAATATTCATTTTAAGTTTCTTTATTTTATTCCGACTAAATATCATTTTCATCCGGGAGGGGGTTCCCTCATATTTATAGCACTTCATTTAATTAATTTTAAAAGTGACTAAACGTTACGTTATCTTGCGAAGCGGGCAAGTCAAGATACGATTTTTACCCCTAAAATATACCACCTATAGTAAAATGAATATACAAAATATATTTTAAGCTTTTTCAATACTGTTCAATACACATGAAGTTCTTAGCGTCCTCCAAAGTGATCACTCCATAGTTATCACTAAGAATCGAGACGGTCTTCCTGTCTTTTTTGGGGAGTCAGAAGAGTCCAGTCCCTAGCGGCCAATATGATGCCCGTTACAAAGGAAGCCCAAAGGAGGAAAAAAGAGTTGTCCGGGGAGGAGGGGTTGAAGTTCTAACACATTTTTCTTGAAAGCTAGGGCTACTTAAGAATTATCGTAATTTTCATACCAACAAATAACCCTAAAATACGACGATCGTCCCAGAACCTAACATGCAGTTTTAGATTTTGTAAGAAAGACGATTAATTTTTTTTCATATATAAAGTATTGAGCCGATTGATTTGAACCAACCAAGAAAACAACATCGTATGTATTTTTCAGAGACCAAAATGGCAAGGATCAAACAGACCTGGAAGCTCATCGTAAACTTCTCGACGTGTTCTCAAACATAGAGGAGTTACAAGAAAAGAGAAACAATCTGCCCAACATCCCAGCTCGTGTTGGCCTTGCGCTGAATGGATGGAAACCCAAAACCCCTGCACAATATGTCCTGGAATACTTTGAAATAGATTTTGAGAACGCTAAGCAATCTGAATTGGTTCCATTTAACGGACTGATTGAGAAAGGAATTGATTTCTTTCTGACTGATCAAAGAGGGATGTGGAGCACTTACAAAGATTTGTATGAAGGGTTCAAAGAAAAGATAGTCTTGAACAAGACAGTTAAGGAGATAAGATACAGCGCTAAGTTGGTTACTGTGAGTAAAGCTTTTTAATTAATATGACATTAATCCTATCAAGCAGGGGCGGATCTAGGGGGGGGTGCTTTTGTAAGTAATATATAGCTAAAAACTAAGTATACCAGATGGAACTGTAAGCTGTGTATTGTCTAGAGAAAGAAAATTATGCACAATTTGACCGGAAGCAAATCGACTTTTATCGCAAGGTATCTTTGACTACACTTTACTCAAAAAGATTGTCAACCAGCACAGTGGCAGACATTTCTTGTGTATGCTACTCGTTTTCTCGATAGAATTACAACAGGAGTATAAACTGCGAGGGAAAAAAACATTCATACTGATATATAAAAAATGGATCCACCCCTAATCCCGGCAAGGCTTTTTATACACGCATCAGGAGTTTCAGAGAACAATGCATCCGCCATCTTGAAAAGTGAACCCTGAATCACTGTTTTGCCTTAGAACAAATTCCATAGTTGCTTAGTCAACTAATCTATCATCATAACGTATATTATATTAGATTTACATTAACTTAGAACCTTTTAATTTCTTTAGGAGTTATAATTTAGTGATTTGAGTCTCACTTTTCAGGATGGCGGATGCATTGTTCTCCGAAACTCCTGATGCATGTATAACCTTTTTTGACAGAAGGGATAGGGAGATTCGCCCCACTGAAACTAAAATAAATTTTAAAAGAAATATTAAAATTGATAAATATAAATATCCATATCAGCATAATGGAAAAAAGCAAAAGGGTGCTAGAAGTGTGTTCGTTGTTTTCGAAATAAAGGAATAATAACATTATTTAGCAGATAACTGATAACCAAGACAAATAAAAAGTTCCTGACAACTGGATGTTATTACTGCTTTGTACAGTGGCGGACTCAAAAGGTTACAAAGGAAGTGCACTAAGTTAGTTCAAGAAAAAAAACGGAGTGTCTAAACGTCAGGTAGCCGAATTCTTTCTTTAAAAATCGTCRAAACAACCGTAATTTCAATTTATACAAGGGGAATGCAATAATATTGAATATAAATATTGAATTGAAATTACTGTTGTTCTGACGATTTTTCAAAAAAAAAATTCGACTGCCTGACGAAAAAAAAATTAATTGACCAAATGGGAAAAGGCGTGGATATGGTAACGCCTACGTTTATACGTTGTATAAAATATAAATACTATCTGTTAAAACAATATATTATAATGAGTAAGATCTGAAAGTTTCAATGCTCTAACGTAAGGATCACAAATTAAATTTGTTTGAAATTGCAAAGGTTTGAGTAATAAATAATATCCGCATCGAGCTCTTACTAGCCTCGGTATTCACCTTTTCGGTACGTTTCAAGTCCTCGTAGCTTTGCCGATATTTTATCTTTTGAAACTAAAAAAAGTTTAAATATATACTCTCTTTCTTGTCGTGAAAACAGATTCACAGTCTTCCGTTCGTTTTTAATACGATCAATAGCAGATTAAAGGCTGCCGAAATGAGATTTCTTTCAGATGAGGACTACTTATGGCAGATGCTTTTCAGAATGAGTCCCATTTATATTTTACTTTATTATGCTACAAATCGTTGACAAAATCCTTGGTTCATTCCAGCGAATTTCCTCATTTTACAAGCAACACCCACAGACAATTTCATCCCCCCTGACCCCCTAAATGCAATGTTGTCATTGATCATGTTATCATAGTACACAAGCATCCACCAAAACAAGACCCAACATTGATGAAAGGGGGCTAAGGGGGAAAACTGTGAAAAAAATAAAGGAGAAAAATGTTGGGCTGGAGACAAATAATTGTACGGTCCAAGGTAATTTGGCAACGATTGTAGGTCATCAGACCCATCTCAACTATGCCAGTCCTTAAACAGATCTTTTGCACCTAGGTGATCACGGACGATGGAGCAGTGTATACGGCAGACTATGCACTTTCTACCTTCAGCAATGGTGTACTTGCAAGCGACATGGTTAAATTCACGCCACCTTTACCAAAATGGAAACAAGAAGCAATCTTGATGGTGCCAATGTCTGTTTACACTAAAATCTTCTTAAAGTTTCCAAGAAAGTTTTGGGATAACCACGAATATATTCTTCATGCTGGACGCACACGTGAAAACTTTCCTGTTTTTCAGGTTTTTATATTCAAATAGTTCGAAAACAAAAGAGAAACTGTTGTCTCTAGCTTGTTCTAGGAAATCGCTTCTATCATCAAAACCACCTGCTCAGTTCTAAATTAAATTTGCATTTCGATGTTTACTTCAATGTCACTATCGAGTGGAACAAGAGCTAGAAAAATTGCAAATCTACTTGGTTGGAAGCTATAAACATTGCAAATTTGTTAGTAAAAAACAGTGTACAATTTTCAGTCGCATTAATTTGAACACTGATCTATGTCAATTTTAATCATATCTATCATAATGTCTTTAGAATTTTTTTCTTGACTTCTTCCCCTCCAGGACTTGACAGGACCAGGAATTTTTCCAAGCGATAGTGGGCTTTTACTGATTACTGTCACCGGTGATGAGGCTAGAAGAATCGAAAAGCAGACTTTTCAAGAAACAAAAGCTGAGATTGTGAAGATGTTGAAAGGAGTCTATGGTCCAGACATCCCTGAGCCAACTGGTAATTTGCCATACAAGTATAAACATTGCAAAACTGATTAGCTACAATCCTGAACAAAATGGCTGAGAAAATCCCCTTTCCCCATTTCAATGTTGGACTCTGAATGGATGTTCGCAGAGGTTGCCGTATTTACTCGAATTAACGCCGCCCCCGAATAGACGCCGCCCTCAAATAGACGTCGCACTTAAAGCTCAAAATATTAATAGACGCCGCCCCCGAATAGACGCCGCATCAGGGTGCGACGTCAATTGAGGAAATAATGATACCAGCAATGGCAATTTATTTTCTTTTAGAACATTTTTTATTTCGAAATGACTGTACTTGTTTGATCTCAGCAGCTGTTAGATTCCGACCACRAGRAGGACATTGAYRTYGAAAWAGAAGTTTAACTCTGGTTAAAATCATAAATTGAATAGACAAAATGAACACGAAATTTATATATTGAAAATCGTTACTGTTTGTTAGTAAAAGGATACTATATAAAGTACGGTATGTAATACTGAATAAAGTGTGGTTTTAATAAACGCCGCAGCTGGATCGCGAAAAATGAAATTAACGCCGCGGCGTCTATTCGAGTAAATACGGTACTGACACACCATCGGATTTTGGGGGTGAGGGGGAGGGGAAGGGAAAATATTATCATCGCTGGAGTTTAGGATAATTGTGTCGATTCATTGGAAAATTATCATCTCTTTTTGTACAGGGCTGTAGGTTTTTAATTCTAATTTTTAWTTTTTTTCTGTACAGACGTGCTTTATCCTCGATGGTCTTTGAACAAGTACGTTCGAGGAAGTTATTCTGACATCCTTGTAGGGTCTTCAGAAGAAACCTTCAAAAACCTTTCTAAAAATCTTGGAAATCTGTACTTCTCCGGTGAAGGCACGTGCGAGAAATGGTATGGKTACATGCAAGGTGCCTATYTTACTGGACAAAAGCAAGCTGGATCCATTGCTAAGCGTATATTGCAATGAGCTACTTAAGCAGCTCATGCTAATGATTGTATTAACGATGGATTTGTTGGAAAAACAAAGTGTCTACATGCTAAATAAATAAAACTTAAGGGGAGAAATAATGACTTTCTGTAGTATTCGATCATCGTGGCCACCTTTTTGAGAAAGATTAATAATGTACATGTTTGACTGAACAAATACCGATGCAATTAAGATTATCCAAAATCCCCTTAGGCCTTATTAGCTTTGATGGTGTCGCCTTTTAAAACATAGCAAAATTTTTGGAAATAAGTGTACCATAACTTTTGAGATAATTTTTTATAGCACTACAATTCAAGATACTTCAATGTACTTATCTGATTATTTACCAGATACAGTTGTGTAAAAAGATAACTTTAACACCGTAAAAAAGTAGTGAAATAGCAGTAAGTTATTTTCTCTCCAAAATTTATCCGTTGTTCCACTTTTATCAACTGCTCATATTTTTTCGGGTTGTTTTCCTTTCTTCTCTCTTTCCTCAATCTTTTTTCCTTTATCTATTCTCTTTCTTTCTTATATCTTCATAATATTCCTCTCATCTATCATTGCACCTTGATGTCCTATGGCTGACTCCTTGCTCGCWTTCACATTTTTTCATCCTCCYYTCTCCTCTCTCCCCTTCCCCCTTTCTCCCTCATTTTATACCACATTTCCTTTTCCTTGATCCTTCCCTTGTCCTCTTCTCAGTCCTTCATWCCAAACAAAATCTGGCTCAGAATTGAAAAACTGCTAAGTGTTGATGGGACTCAAGCCAGACGAGCGATGATGTCAAAAACAGAACTCATGCGACTGATGGACGTTAGTCTACCCCCATCAGGAGCGCCCCAAGGCCAGACATGTGCCTAGCGGGAAACAAGATAATGATGATACGCTGATATGTATCTGTTTTTTACTTACTATATATCTGTAATGTAAATTTTAGAGTCAACCCAGCAAGACCAGCTGATCTCAAGGAAGCATTCAATGTCGAACTCAACAAAACACTAAGCGCGTCATTCCTAAAAATGCTAACTACTTCAATCTGAAGTGTGTATCATAATGTAATTCACAATTTGTTCAAAAAAGCTAGCTTGTTAGAGCTTAACAAAAGGTGTGTTCTGACCGCTTCACAACACTTCTGATATGAAGCCCTCTTTTGAACAATTGTTTCAAAAATGTGCGCAACCTTCGTTAAGAATCTTGAAGGCTATTGGAATTGGTCTTAAAATAAAGGTAGAAATTACACACAGCAGACTCCTTCCCGATGCCATCTTAAAAGGTAGAGTTGTCTTTGCACCGAGGCGAGACGACCGTCGACCGTTTTCAATAAATGGTTAGGCTGCCTGTGGAGAGTAATTGTGCGATTTTGTTAGTCCTTGGCTTAAAAGAGTATTTCAATAGTCTCTTTCACGGTTCCCTGCGCCTTTCAAGATGGCGAAGGTAATCGTGAAGGAGACTATTCCTGAGTTCGTCAGTCACGAGTAAGCAAGTCGTACGGGCATTACAATGCACGACTTTGAGCTCTTTTGAGTTGAATACTACTACCTTTAAAAGACGTACTCGACAATCTCAACGTGTAGACAGCCCGCATTGCATAGCCTCCTTCACTGTTCCCTGCGCCATCTTTAAAGGTAGCAGTGCCATTGCATCGAAGCAAGATAACTGTTGAGCGTGCAATGATAGAAACCTTCGTTCACACCTACAGACAATTATTCACAGGTATCTATCATTGCACGCACGAAGCTTTTCTCGCTTCGATGCAAAGGCACGGCTACCTTTCAAGATGCCGCAGGAAACTGTGAAGAAGATTAAACAGCCGATAAGAGTGAAGTACATATATTCCGGTACACGGAACACGATTTTCGTCGCTGATTCGCAGACGGACCCAACGAAAGTTTGGCTCGGCTGTACGCAGGCTATTATCTCAACAAGGGCGCTAGAACTGAAATTATGACCTATAAGATCCAAAAATTGCTTAATTTATCCAACATAAGATAGACGATAATAAATAAAGTTTTACTTATCTGAAATATACACTGAAATGTCCTCTTAGACACTAAAAAAGACTTGATTTTACGAAATTCATCCAAATGATCGTTACTCAAGCGGTTGTTGCTGAATTTATTACCGCTGTCCTTGTTGTACCAGCCGCTGCTGTCTCGCCAGGAACGTTATTCATTAACCGGATTAAAATCACTTTGCCCTGGCCGAACACCAAAAGAGACAGGGGCAGGCAATAACTAGCGGCCCCTTTGACCACTCGTCTGACTCACTAATCGGATTAAGTTGACAGGACCTAGGGACACTGATGACAGATTAGTCCTGGCCGAGCGAGTCTTCGTAGTCCCGAAATAGTAAATACGCTACCGTCGCGATGTTTTATAACTCGTCGGTTTTCGAATCGAAAGTCATTTAAAAGTTGAGCGAAGCGCTCGTCAATAATTTTTGTTACATATGAAACTAAGATGTGAGTGTGTTGAATTCGTGTTTAAAAACGTTGAATTGAGAAATAGAAACAGTACATTTTTTGTTAAGCAGCATTATATTCAAAGTGTCAGTCGCATAAACTTGTTTGTGAGCGGTGCTTTACGACTAACATTTGGCTTTCATTTCGGTTTCTTCCAAATGGAGTTGAACTTAGATTTCGGCCAGGCACTTTGTCCATTTAAATGGCGATAGTTTTGACCATCCTCAAGACGAGAGCGTTTTAGTTCAAATCCCGAACTCTGACGAGGTCACATTCGGGCCAACGAAGACTCGCTCGGCCAGGACTAATCTGTCATCAGTGTCCCTAGGTCCTGCATGTCAACTTAATCCGATTAGTGAGTCAGACGAGTGGTCAAAGGGGCCGCTAGTTATTGCCTGCCCCTGTCTCTTTTGGTGTTCGGCCAGGGCAACGTGATTAAAATCCGGTTAATGAATAACGTTCCTGGCGAGACAGCAGTGGCTGGTACAACAAGGACAGCGGTAATAAATTCAGCAACAACCGCTTGAGTAACGATCATTTGGATGAATTTCGTAAAATCAAGTCTTTTAAGAGGACATTTCAGTGTATATTTCAGATAAGTAAAACTTTATTTATTATCGACTATCTTATGTTGGATAAATTAAGCAATTTTTGGATCTTATAGGTCATAATTTCAGTTCTAGCGCCCTTGATCTCAAAACCGTGTTTGCCGCTCTGTTGAGCTTATGCGTAAAGGTCTCAATGGGCCAATAAATTAGTTATAATTTCGATGTCTAAACATCGTGGGTTTTTTCATCCAATCTCAATACAGCTGTTATTGAGGGGGCTCAATAATTAATCCAAGATTCCCAAAATTCGTTTTGAGTACATTGTTTAAAAGCCTGAGATCCGGTGTATTCAAAATGGAGAATAAAAAAGTGGTATCCATTCCCGTTGTGGATTTTTGTGTCATGGGCCTTCATAATGATGAAGTCGCAAGTGATTCAGATGAGAGAGTACAAGAAATAGCTTCTCAAGTTTGTGAAGCATTCAAGGATATTGGATTTGTGTATCTAAAGAACCACGGCATTCCTGAAGACGAGGTAAAAAGCTAGTGCACTATTAATATATAGTACTTAACCATTTCTTGCGAAAAAACTCGCGTTTGATTCAAGATAAACAAACCAAATGCCCGGCGGCGACGATGAATGCATTTATCACTATGAATAATAAGCAGTCATCGGTCGTTTTCTGATCGTCGCTTTAACTCGAAGAGTTATGGATGATGATGTGTGTGGTGGGTTTGTTAATAAGTCACGTACTAAGTTTTCCTGTAAACATACGATCATTTGGAAATACGCAACAAAATTGACGGACCACTCGACATGTAACGTGTCATACAGAGAGACGGCTTGAAAACACAGACAAAAAAATCAGATAATTACATGATTCTAAGGCCTTTTCCAGGTAAACAGAGTAAGGCAAATAGCAGATGAGTTCTTTTTGCTACCAGTCGAAGAAAAACAAAAATATGCCAGAGCAGTTCATGGGTCGAATCATGGTTGGACGGCGCTGGAGAGAGAAAGGTGAGGAAAACGTATATATCATATAATTATCTATAAAATACCTATATTTCTCCATTTCGTAAAGTTGATATTTTCACTATTGAAACTTATCATGTTATAACACATTCGAGGCTTCTCTATGTATTGGAAGCACGAAAAAAGGTGTTTTACCACATAATTTTCATTTATATAACATGCATGGTCGCTTGGAGATATGAATTTTATCTTTTAGTGYTGAAAATCGCTATACGCTCATTGAAGAGATCTTTTCGACACTCGAAGATAAAATCCGTATCACTTCGAGCCCATGTAATATTCTATCCTTTACGCAAAGTTGTTATTTTCACTCAGTGAAAATAATACATTCGTTGAATCTCCATATTCACGCATATTGGAGGTAAATAAAAGTTATCTAAAAACATAATTTGCTTTTATTGATAATTATATGATTAAATGTTATCTTTTCGTGTTGTTGGCTACGAGTCAACATGACATATTTTTTCAAGACTCTAACATCCATTAATCCGTATCAGTTACATGTAATGCGCAAAAACACCAAAATCACGTGCTGTGCTCCTGTTGTTTTAGGCCTTTTTAATTCGTGCTCTCTTTTATAAACGCATACTATTTAATCCATCTTTTATAATTGTTTTATAAAGAACTAACCCAGCAAGACCAGCTGACCTCAAGGAAGCGTTCAACATCGAAATGAACAAAAAGGTAAGCTGTAATTAGATTATCTTAAAAATGCCTAAATAAATGTTTATCGATATCTTTTGTATAATTCTTTTCAAATTGTGGAATTATTATATTTTTTTATTGTTTTTCTTTCAGAAATGGCCAACAACTACTATCCCAAGCATGAAACCCTCTTTTGAAGAGCTGTTTCAAAAATGTGCGCAACTTTCGTTTAGAATTTTGAAGACAATTGGAATTGGTCTTAAAATGCAGGTATATAGATACAGATCAATCTCTCATCTTCAAGACCGTAAAAAGTCTATTGCAAAACTAACTGGAAGCACCTGCGTACTGGTGCTAAATTTTACAAATTTGGAGAGTCTTTCCCATAATGTTTTTGGTTGACAAAATTAGTAGATCCATCCTAAAGTTAAAGGTAGCATTGGAAACAACAACCGCAAAATGATATACAATTAATCCCCATAACGTTGTTTACATAATATTCTTTTTTTTTTTTCAAAATTATTCGACCACCAAGTTCCAAAACTTTCTGGCAATGTCAATAAACTTCAATAGCACTTTACCCGCTGGAATTGAAAAAAAAAAAA